TCAGGTCCTGAGGGTGCCAGACCAGGGATGTCCAACCTGTAGCTTGGTATTCAGAGGAGGTTTCTCTATTAAAAAGCATCTCTTCTCCCAAGTGGTCAAGAGCTGATGGACGGGAGATATCCTCGCCTCCCAGAGCCCCCGCGGCCCCCCCCTTTGGATTTGGGCCACCTTTCCTTTTGAATTTTTCGACCGCCAGGCAGACACGCCGGAAGAGAAATGGCAGAGAAATCAATGCTGACATACAAGGCCTCCAGAACCTAAGCCAGACAGACACAGCACCGCCCACGCGCTGCTCTGTATCCCAGCAGCAGGACAACAATCACCTTTGGATACAAAAAACAATTAAGGAAAAACACACCCCTGGTTTGAACAGAAGTGCTGGGCTCGGAAGCCATACCGCTGCTCCATGGCGCACGGGGGCAAACGGAGCTAATTGACAGCTCGCGCCTGATGAATCCAAGCAATTAAAGTGCAAAGATGGAGGCAACAGAGTAAAAAAAGAAACCTATTAAAAAAAAAGCCCATCCACCAGCCTCCTTTATAAAAGCAGAGCAACCCAGACTTAACGAACCTGCCAGCTGTGCACACCGCAGTCGCTGACTTCTGTTATTGATTCCCTAAGATCATGGAGCGGAACGGGAAGGGAGCCTTTTTATGTTTGAAAATTTAAGATGTTTATAAAAAGCACCGAGCAGCAGGGCTGTGTCATTAGCCAATTTAAAGGACTAACTCATTAGCAAGGGCTTTTCATTTCTGCCTTACGAACACAGGCTAAAAATGACCTTTTGCAGGCAGATAAAAGGGGGAGGGGTCCCTTAAGAAAAGCAAATGAGCTAAAGAGGGGGTGAATGGGATCACGAAGGCAAAGGAGCGGAGCAGGTTCCCCCTGGGTCATTGGCACAACGGGGGTTGGGAAGAAGATGAACCAGGCGGAGGGGTGGATTGATGTAACGCGAAATCACTGCTGTGCAGACCCTTCTCTTTGACCCACAGACACGCTCATCTCCTGGGAGGAGATGGCACCTCATTTAGACGGCTATGCACACACTCCTGGCCCTTCCGGGACCGCAGAGGGTGTCAGCGGGTTACGGTTTTGCACAAATTGCTTCCTGCCCGAATCACCGACGCCATCCTCTTCTCTGCTGAGGATGCACAGATGTCTATTCCTTTGTAGGCCTGGAAATCTGGAGGGTTAAATTCGGATTTCAGGGCAAAACTAATCAGCCGAAAAGCATATGAGGCAGACTGGCTTAAAAAAAAAAAACACACCACGGACCCAGCGTACCATCATAGAGGTGTCATCTTCCCTGAGCGGGAGAACCTGAGCACAAAAGCACACAACACACCGAGTTAACGACTACCGCCGGGCAGCGTTTCAAAGGGGAGTCTTTCAAAGCCTGCAGGCCTGCTTCTCATGAACACTGACCATGGCTCGCTTGAGAAAGCTTTACACCTGCTGGATTCCCTACCGCTTCCACCTTCGAAAACGGGATGTCAAGAGAAGAAGAATTACCGGTAATACAATTAATGTATTAATCACATTAGCCATCCAGGCCCTGATCAGGAGTAATGAGCGGGCTTGAAACCAAAGCAGGAAAATTTATGGTTGAACTTTAAGTGGAAGAAACACAGAAAATACTTTGTAGGACTAATAGAAAGTCATGCAAAGGTCTAAGGAGGAGTTAGGGACAGCTCCACAGAAGATAAACACCTTTTAAAAAGGACAAAACCTATGACAGCATCTCCTGCTTCCTCCTCGATGCCTCAATCAACAGATTTTCAGCCAGGGAATATGAACGCCCATTAAAGTGTCCATTGGTTGCTGCCCTGCCATGGGCATGGACAACAATAGTCATATAGTGCTTTAGGACAGCCTTCCAAGTGAGACTTCTTGGGTTCCTATAGGCAAGGTTATGCATTCCCCTTGCACCTTATTCTACCAACCAAGTGGATTTTCAATGGACGAGGTGTTTCTGTCCTGAAGAGCGGATGGATGTTCTACATCACCCATTCATGCCACTCACATTGGCACATGGGACAGACCTCGCACCTGTCCGAAGAGGATTTCACCCTCAGCGAGTAATTAACCCTCCCAGCACCTCTGAAGTGCAGGCTGAACCTTTCCAATCCAGCACACTCTGGTCTGGCAATATCTGTGGCCTGGCATGATTTTAGTTAGTGGGCCTCTATCGTGGGTGGGGCCACGTTGACCAGCATCCCCAAAAGTCTGTTTACAGCCACTAATCCTGGCTCTCAGTGTTCTGTGCTGTGTTTTAGTTCTGATTTACCCCTAAATGTCTTCTCAGAGCCCAGGCAGCAGTGGAAGGGTTGGTAACGCTGCTAGACAGTATTGACCTCCTGTGGTCCGGCAAATTGTCTGGTTTAGAACCTCTCAAACCGCGAGAGTGCCGGACTGGAGAGATTCCACCTGTACTATCCCCATTTTACAGACAGGTAAAGAGAGCATCTATGTCAGTGGTCCCCAACCTTTACAGGCTCCCGGGCACCTGGGGGCGGGGCCACTGCCGCGCTGGGCGCCCAGGGGCGGGGCCACCCCCTCCCTGGGCG